ACAAAGAGACACGAAAAACCACAAAGATACACAAATAACCACAAAGACACAAAATGACTACATAGACACACATATAGACCACAAAGACACAAAATGACTGTAAAGAGACACAAAACAAATGACTTAAAAGGAGAAAATGGCGGAGTCCACCACTCTTGTGCTGGATTCAAATTGCCTTCATACAAACGAGGATTCACAGGTGATGAGGCAGCATATTATCAAGTGTTACTGGTGTCACGATCTTTGTTTTGGTTAAGTATGTTTCCTGTTTTATTTTGAAGTTCCCTGCCTCTTGTGTCACGTGTTTACTTCACTTCCTGCCTTTGTATGTTTTCCCACCACTGTAATTGTCTGGTCCCCCCCTGATTGAATCCTCCTGTGTCTCATCACCTACAGCTCCCCGGTGTATTAAGCCCAGTGTTCCCCTGTCTCTGTGTTGGTTCGTCTGCTATGTTCCTGTCAATCTCCCTTGTGCACCTGTCCGGTTTACCCGGTCCTGTGTCGTGTCATTTTGCCTGTTGGATTTTAAGTTACTCATTTTTTGACTCCCCTGCTTTGTACGTTTGTTTGTGATGTTTGTTTATTAAAATCACTGTTTATCATCCTTCTGCTTTTTAATCCACTACATTTATCTGACAGCTTTAGTTACATTACAGATAAAGATTTTACAAACAACAAAGCACATGATCAGTATATCAAATAAGATATTGTGCAATAGATTAAACTATCAAACATAGTATAAATAAGTTAAACCATCAGTAATACTATTACAATAATATAATACATATAATAATTTATATCTTTGCCCAACAAGTACTTTTACTTGAATACTTTAAGTTCATTTTGCTGTTAATACTTGAATGTTTTATTGTAACAGAGTACTTTTACAGAGCGATATTGCGTCTTTTACTTAAGTAAAAGATATGAGAACTTCTTTCACTACTGTTGGTTTCTTTTAATCGTGACCATAACCGCAACCAGATATTTAGATATTTATGTTTTTCACACATTATTCTTGATTATATTATATTGATTATGCATACATACTGAGGTTTGTGTTCAGGCTCAACTGAAAAAATCTTTTTTTATTTTGTTAACATTTTTAATTTTAACACTCTTTTGACAAAAATCCCTCCAGATATTTGTAGTTTAAGTTGTTTTTTACATCTCACTTAAAGGTCTAATGTTTTTGGATATTTCAGCATCAAGCAGCGAGGTTGCAGATTGCTGAATTTATACTATTTGGAAAAGCAATAAAAAAGCAATAAAGCTATAATAAGCAAATGAGAATGTTCATGTGATTGATTAATGACTAAAAGCAGACTTTAACATTTTCTATGTGAGAATATTTCACAGGCTGCAGACTTTTATTGCTTCTGCCTAGTTGCTACAAATCTTTCCGATTAGTGCCAGGGGTCTCGTAAAGCAGATCAACCTCTTCCTTTCAGATGTGTGGATTGAACAAATGTTCTGCAACAGATCAATAGACTGTTAAGTGTCCAAGCTGCCCTCACCCCGACACACTATCATCATGCCTTCATAAAGCGTTCTCTGCTTTAGGATTTCTCTCCTTTAAATGCTGCACAGGAGGCCGTCACTGTTGTTAAAACGACCATGAAAACAGGGAGGACCAGCCCATCTGTTGCTGCATGTGACTGTGTGTGTCTGTGTGTGTGTGTGTGGTCCTTCAGATTCATTCCACATTTCACATCCATCTGACATTACATAAGAAGAGTGCAGTTACAGAAAGTGTATCCTTCATGAGAAGGTGGGCGGACGTCTCTTAGCACATAAAGAGAAAGGCTGTCCTTCTTTTCTAATATAAAACTTCTCAACAAACTGGCTTTGTGCATTTCAATTTACCAAACATATCTTAAAGATCACAACATGTCTGTGTGCTTTTCTTTAACTGGATTCACTTGAGTGTCTCATATTGTTCACATTCAGTGTATTTAAGTCAGTGTTATGGACCTCAAACTGCACCACTATACAACAAAACAACACAGCAAAAATGACACACATCATTAAGAAAAAATATCCAAGTTGGAAAATACATTTGGAAATGAAACAAATATGAAAAGTAAACATGAATTACAGTTAAGGAGGTACAATATGAAAACATCATAATCATAACTGACACATCTTGAGATCTCTATTAATTTGTGTGAGGATTGATTAAATGTAGAAAAATCAATAAAAGACAATGTGTTTTGTTCTGCCTCAGAGTGTTAGTGTGCTGGTGGATCAGTTCACAGTGTTGTTTTAAAAGCCTGGAGAATCCAGTTTTCCGGCTCTCAAAAAAATAGAGAAAATGATCATGTCTTTTGTTGTAGACGCATTTTTGTTCAGTGCTCACAGCTGTGGCAAATACATTAAGTTTCTTGTGACTGCTTCACAATACAATAAAAGATAACTAAAAGCCACTCTACTAGTTTAAATATTATGTGAAGGAGCAGCAGCAGGAAATGTAAATTACAACTCTGATACGGCGTTGAGAGAGTGAAGAATAAACAGTGAGGCTGATTTCAATGAGATAAAATATTTCATGCTTGTTTGCAACTTGAATCCATCGCGGTAATGGCAGACTCCGCCACTAACAATAGAAAATACTGTATTGAGAGGTTATTACATGGAAAAACATTTAGTGACTTTCACTGGAAAAATTCTCGGGGTTTGATTGTAAAAACATCTTAAGCATTATAACTCTAAATTCTCCACATAAAGAACCATTTCACAGGTATCCCCACACAACAATAAAGTGACTAAAATGAATGCAGACTTGAAGCTAAACAAACTAAATGACTCAGGAATCACTTTTATACTGTATGGCATGACCAGTAGGAAAAACATACCCCAAAATCCAAAACGTGATAGCATATAGTGTATGTGAAAATGATCAACAAGAATGAGAACAAAACTTGAAGTTAAGAAGGTACAACTTAAAAACACGGTGGTATGGCGCTTTTTTTTTTCCAGAAAAACCTTTTTATTTTCAATTTTAATTGCAGTTTGCAGGTATGATCTTACAAATATAACTGCAGTGATAAAACAAAAACACTGTCAGTAAATTTAAAAAAGAGTTGATGTTATAACTTGTTAATAACAGACCACAGGTCTGTTATTTGCACATCTTTGCTAAGTCTATATCTTTTATGGGAATTCTTAAGGGTTTTTTCAAGGTGCAGTATGCAACAATCACATAACTCAAGAGATCTCAGTGATCAAATGGTAAAACCAAGGTTATCTATCTCATTATTCAGTCTGTATCCAGCAGAAGATAACATGAATATAGCTTTTCTTTTACACTCTCTTTATCATGTAATGTACCACCCATGTGTGGACTGCGAGTGGCGCAGCGCCTCGGGGAACGGACTCCTACAGCGCCATAAAGGTCATGAACAGTGCCCACGTCCTCCCTGCCTGCCGTCATCATTACGAATAACATTGCTGTAAAAGGAAAACTGGTTCCCTTTTGAAAAAAAAAAGTCAATTTAAAAGATCCTCTGAATCAGCCTGCTGATGGGGATGTCTTTGTTTCCACCTTGTGTTCATCCCCGGATGTAATGTTTCTGTAATTAAATTGGCAGCCTTCAAAAAGAAAGGGGATTGGCACGCCGGGTGTACGTGAGAGATTATTAAATTGAATGCCAGCGGGTAGAGAAATCATCCCCACGAGATATAAAACATCACGTCTCAGAGTGGTAGAGGCTCTTTGACTTATGCTATTTGGACATTTATCGTTCCGCACAAACTTTGATGAGTCAGACGTGAGTGATGCGGTGTGGGCGAACGCCGAGCCAAAACAAAGAGTGGATCTTCTTAATGAGATCTCTGCTTTCTGCCTTTTAGTTCTCTAATGGGCCTCAAGGCCTCAGCAATCCAGCAGCTAATTCTTCGTCTTTTAAACCAACGGACATGTTAAATGTTGAACAGTTGTACATTCACTCAAGTTGTGTAAGTTCAATTTTAAGGTATACTTTTTATGCTGCTTTATGCTTCTACTCAGCATCTAAGAGGAATTGTTCTACCCTGTTCTTGGTGCAAAAGCAACATTTATACTTTGCCACATAGATAACTGCAATCTAACGCACTCAGCTGCAGAACTTTATGGGAGTCTTTGCACTGAAATGTCATTAGCATAATATCTTTAGTGACTCAGACTGTCAGACGGGTTGATGGTAGCGAGTGATGCAGAATTCATGGTGCTGCCAATGGCCGCTATCAATTCAATGGAGTCCTGTGTTTGTCCCACAGGAGAGAAAAGAGGGTGTCAAGCTAACATTAGATGTCTCTCTTTTGTGGGTCGAGATGTGCTGACGGCAATAAGCATCAACATGTAGCCCTGTATTTTCAGAGCTCCATACTTAACTCCAAATTAAGATAATTGAATTTCATGCCTCCTGGAGAACATTAATGTAGCGCACAAGACTGAGACAGCCTCTTTCCATAACTATTTTGACCAAATAAATACTAAATTTTTCACAGTTTGCTCCTGTTGCTCAGAAGACTGTTTGTATTAAAGCGTCTA